TACGCAACAACCCTCCTATAGCCCTCACACTACAACAACCCTCTACTACAACAACCACCTACAACAACAACCTCCTATACTCCCTCACACTACAAAACCCTCTATCACAACAACCCTCTACAACAACCCTCTACTACAACAACCCTACAACAACAACCGTCCACTATAACTCCCTCACACTACACTAACCCTCTACTACACAGCCCCTACAACAGCCCTCACTATATGCCTCACACTACAACCCCTCTGCACAACAACCCTGCCCTCACACTAAACAACCCTCTACTGTAACCCCCTCCAACAACAACCCTCCACTCCTAACTCCCTCACAACTACAACAACCCTCTACACACAACCCTCTACAGCAACAACCCCTCCATAACTCCCTCCACTGTAACCCTCTACTACAGCCCCTACAGCAACAACCCTCCACTATAATCCCTCACACTACACAACTACAACAACAACCCTCCACTGCTCCCTCACACCAACAACCCTCCCACAACAACAACCCTCCCACAACAACAACCCCCTACAACAACCCTCCACTATAGCTCCCTCACACTACAACAACCTCTACTACAACAACCCTCCACTGCTGCTCCCTCACACTACAACAACCCCTACAACAACAACCTCCACTATTTCCCTCACACCAACAACCCTCCACTATAACTCCCTCACACTACAACAACCCTCTACTACAACAACCCTCTACAACAACAACCCTCCACTGTAACTCCCTCACACTAACAACAACCCTCTACTACAACAACCCTCTACTACAACAACCCTACAACAACAACCCTCCACTATAACACCCTCACACTACAACAACCCTCTACTACAACATCCCCCTACAACAACAACCCTCTACTACAACAACCCTCTACTACAACAACCCTACAACAACAACCCTCCACTATAACACCCTCACACTACAACAACCCTCTACTACAACATCCCCCTACAACAACAACCCTCTACTACAACAACCCCCTACAACAACAACCCTCCACTTTAACTCCCTCACACTACAACAACCCTCTACTACAACAACCCCTTACTACAACAACCCTCTAATACAACAGCCCTCTACTACAACAACCTCCTACTACAACAACCCCCTACTACAACAACCCTCTACTATATGAATCGTCTACTTGTGCAATTAACCAGGCCGTTCACATATATTTATTATTTGGGTTTAAGTAACAAAACCCAAATGGTAGTTCCTTGTTTTATTATAAAAGGATTGTATCTATAATTCCTGAGTGTAGATCGACTGTAAGTTCCACTGTATAGGAGTGAATGAGAAAGGGACGGCGTTTATGTATTAAAAACGTTTGGTCACGTCCTTACGATATAACTTTCTGTGAGCGACACATGAGTAGTGACCCATCGAGGGAGAACGGTATGACGGAGCCATCCACTGCGGCTCTCAAATAACGTCTTCCTCTAGTCAAGGATATCAAACTACTGCTCTCTTCAGGTGGCCAGAGAGCCGGCTACTTATGCCTTTACTCAGCATAGTATGACGCAGCTTCCCGTGGGCACACTTTATCACGTGCATGGAACTTGTCACCTCATAGCCAGTGGAAGGTTACAGGGTGGTGAATCTGAATATAATATCATATGTATTGACCCATTTATATAATATGCTCTGTTCATGAGACAGGAGCCCATTACAACTACAACAACCCTCTACTACAACAACCCCTTACTACAACAACCCTCTACTACAACAGCCCTCTACTACAACAACCTCCTACTACAACAACCCTCTACTACAACAACCCTCTACTATAAAAAACCCCTACAACAACAACCCTCTACTATAACTAATTCACACTACAACAACCCTCTACTACAACAACCCCCTACAACAACAACCCTCCACTATAACTCCTTCACACTACAACAACCCTCTACTACAACAACTCTCTACTACAACAACCCTCTACAACAACAACCCTTTACTACAACCCCCTACTATAACTCCCTCACACTACAACAACACTCTACCACAACAACCCTCTACTACAACAACCCTACTACAACAACCCTACTATAACTCCCTCACACTACAACAACCCTCTACTACAACAACCCCCTTCCAACAACAACTCCCTACTACAACAACCCCTACTATAACTTTTCTAACGTGGCCTCCAGCCTCCCCCAATAACCACACCTTCGCCACCATTTATTTACCTTAATATTAAATATCCTAATACATAAGAAGCTATCCTATCTGTGTTAAATTAGTTGAGCCGCAGATCTATGCGGCATTCAGTGACTGTAGCCTCATAGTCAATATCTGCAGCAGTTGTCGGAGTAGGGGCAGAAGCTCTCGTTCCCCTGAGGCAGAGCAAAGCCGACCAAAGGAGAGAGAAGGACAGTCGACATCTCATCCAGGCTGTAACATAACTTCTGGGCTGCTGCTTCTGTTCGGAGATCAACTCCGCGAGTCTGGTGTAGAAACATCTTGCACTTGGGCCCATCCCACCAGAGGTTGTGAACACTAGAGGAGTGAAGCTGCCTTGATCAACATTTTGAATTCTCTTCCCATATGCCCTTCTCTTGTCGTTCTCGTTCCTCCTATGTGCAGCATCGAGAGCTAGGTTACGGTGACAAGCGGCCATGGGATCAAAAATCCTGATGTCGAAGAAAGCTCGCTGTCCCCGCGTCCAGAATCCTCGAGCACTGACGTCCACACGGGCTTCGTTAGATGTGTTTGAAGTCCTGTGTTGAAAGATCTCGCCATCCAGTGGAAGGAGGGTCGGTTCTACCATGACGTCCCGGCAGATTTCCTTCAACATATTTGCTGTGAGATCCCTTACCTCGTCATGCCTCATGCATATGAAGCCCCCCTTCTTGCAGACCATGGCGTGATCGCCATCATAGGAAGAGCCACACACGCATTGGGAGGGCAAACCATCTACTGGCCAACCGTACCTTAGAGCAATGGCATCTGTAAATTCTTGTTTGTTAAGGCTGAAACCATTTGCCCTTATCGGTAACGTAGTTAACCAGTTCGAGGCGCCCACCTCCTGCGCTATAGCTACTTTTTTTGTCAAATTTTCTGGAACCTGCAGCAATAGTTGCTGCAACATGTCATTTTGGCAGTGCTGCCGATCTGTTGTAATGGACCTACGGATCTTATTTACTTCGCTGGTGTCCACTTCCCCTGTTGCATTCTGGGCTATTATGTGGTCAGTGAGGGCTGCCGTGAGCTTAAGTGAATTTTGATGTTCAGAGTCAGCAATCTCCTCTGGATTAGTTAGTCCCATCCCTCCCAGTCTTGGTGCAAGTGCAAGAAGTGTTCTTTCTGCTAGGGTTAAGTCAGGGTGTTTCACTAGTATGGGAATGAACTTGACACTGATTGCTTCTTCCAAAGGGTGCAGGAGGGGTCCGATCTCAGGGATGGTACGCATCAGGTAGTTCCAACGATGCTTGACTCCATGGGTGAATGCTGCAAAGGCCGCATGTGGCTCTGTGTTAGCAATCTCCGATAGAGCTTGGATTTCGCTAACCCACTCATTCACCTTTCCCGCTACGTACTCGGTCTTGAAGTCCGTAGTGCCAATTACTGCGCCTAGATGTCTTTGGCCGTCCTTAGTTATTTTGACCTCACTTCCGCCAAAAACCTCCAATGCCCGTTCATAATGTTCTGGCTTCACGATGAGGAAGGATTTGCTGGCGTTTGGGGGGTACCCTATTTGTGGACCTCGCGATGTTACCAGGTCCCACCACTTTTTGATGTCCTCCACTTTTCCTGCTCCTGTAAGGTCATCAGCATATGCCACTTGTTTGACCCCAGTTGTTTCAAATTTTATTTCTTGTTGGAGCACTGATAGGCCAATTGCATACATTGCCATTGCAACGGGGTCCCCCTGTGTTGTTCCCTCGGTCGACTGTAGGATGGTATCACCTCGTAGAGCCTTGTTGTTTACTATGTAGAGGTCTGATGGATTCCTATACGAATTTTCAACATACATCGCAAAGCTAGGACACTTGATCTTGATGTTGTGCAGTGCAGCCTTGCGGTTAAGTATGTTGAATGCGTTTGAAGCATCCACCAGGAGAACTGCCTCACAATCACGCTGCTCAAATATCAATCTCATGGCGTGAATGGCCGCCTCCCCACCAGCCTGGTGGCCAGCACACACTTCTAGGTTCCCTGCTGCTGCCCTGACATCGTCCTTTACCACCTCCATTATGCACTTTCCGATGATCCGCCTCAGCACTTTCCCCACCCCTATAGGTCTACATCCTGGTTTCTTTTCCAGAGGAATAAGGCGGCAGGCCGTCAGGGCCTGGAGGTGATGGCAGCAGGAGGATGCAAGCTTTCTTGCAAGGGCGGCAATGGCAGTGCAGAGATCGCTTGCTACAGGGCCAAACTTGTTTGTGCTGAGGATGACTCTCCAACCGTTTGCATCCAGACCTGAAGGGCCGGCTCCTCCTCGAGTCTTCAGTGCTTTTTTCCACACCATCTCTCCTGTTATTTTCTCGAACAGGACAACATTTGGTGGGATATAGGCACCCTCGAACCTGATGCCTTCATCTTCGCTTGCAGGGGGATGTTTCTCTTTCAATAGTTTTAATGTCTCTCTGTTTATTGGCATCACCCCACCGGAAGATTCCTGAGTGAGAGATCTTACCGCGAGAGACACTTTTCCCACACGCATTTTGTTTCCAAATTTTCTTGCCACGTCATCGGTGTTTTGCTTCCCTACTACAACAACCCTCTACTTCAACAACCCTTTACTACAACAATCCCCAACTATAACTCCCTCACACTACAACAACCCCGTACTACAACAACCCCCTACAACAACAACCTTCTACTACAACAACCCTTTACTACAACAACCCCCTACTATAACTCCCTCACACTACAACAACCCCGTACTACAACAACCCCGTACTACAACAACCCCCTACAACAACAACCCTCCACTCTACAGTACAGAAACTCCCTCACACTCTGTCTTTACCTGAGCGAGTGGTTGTTGACGGTACACTGCCCTGCGCCAGACTGACTGTGTAACCGCTGATTATCACTCAGCTTCATTCAGTTGTGTTGTAACTCACGGGCGGATCCAGGAGGGTGGTCCTTGGGGGTTCGCCCCCCCCCCCTTTTCATCAGGATATTCCAATATTTTTTCTTTAATACAGTATTGTACTTAGGCGCTTTTGTAGAGTAAAAAATAATTACTATTGACCTCAGAATATTTCATAATATCAATTGCACATGGCTTCAGTATGGCCTCAATATGCCTTTGATATTGGCTAGATTCCCCCCCTCCTCTAGATGGGCTCGTTTTGCTCTCCGTGTTCCCCTACCCAAAACCTCTTGGATCCCCTTTTGATATTCTTGGATCCGCCCCCGGTAACTTTCTGTTCTTATTAAGATGAAAAGTAAAATGCAAAGTTTATTATATAGGCTAAAGCTGTGACTACTATAGTGCGTTTTTTCTCAGCTGAGAAAAAACGCACTATACCTGTACACAGTACGTTAGAAATCAGACGGAAATATGAACTTTTGTGTTTAAGAAGGGCAATAACGTTGGAAGGAATAGATGATCTCAAAATTTGATGCCCATCCTTATATGAACTGATGATTAACGGTAACCTAACCTAACTTACCCTAATCCTTCCCATCAGAAAACGGGGAATATAATTTATGTAAGTATTGAATTTTGTGAAACAGTGTGAAAGACGAGCAGATGAACATATGAGAAAGACTCAAAAGAATACTATCAATTATTTTGTAAAGAAGTGGATAGATAGACAACACCAAGAGAGTGAATGGAAGTGGTGAAATAATTTGGTACAAATTGAAATTGGGAGACAAATATTCAGAAAACTGATAATGTAATCAATGATAACCGCAGACCGGTAACGGGGATGACGGCCCGACTGAGTGGTAACTGACCCACTCCTCGAAACGCTGTAATACAGCCATTATACCAACGTGACACATGTTACCTTCCAATTACTGGACATTTTTACACCTCACGATCGCACAGGACTGACAGCGTTAGCCTACTCTCCCTACAGGCCGCGTGAGTGAATCACACGCCTGCGAAAACGTAGCTAACTGTTGTCCTTCCTGACGTATTCAGATAAGCCTCACCATATCACTCGAGAAATTCCACTAACCAATGTGGTAAGGGGACACCGGATTGCGGCGTGGTGACAGTTGAACTTCACCCCCCCCTCCGCATATCGCCTGATATTTCAGGCAGGAAAATTCGGCCAATCATTGTTAGGAATGAAAATTGACGTCATCCACAAGAAATTTTATTCTTTATTATTTTCCCACTTACTGCGGCTAGTTTATCATGCACCCCATACTCATCTTATCCGCGATAGCGCAAAAGGATTACAGAGTACAGGTCACAAAGGGTTTGTATAACTAACGCCAATGGTCAGGCTCATATAGCATTAAATGTTACAACGTATTTCATCTTTGTTTAGCTCTATACATAAAGGGTAGCTTATACGCAACTGCTTGAGTACAGGAGTGTGAGGCAGTATGTCTTGCCTCACACTTTGTTATTCACATCTGCGTGAGAGGTATTCAAGCACATTGTGTGTTTGGGTCTATACATGGGAACTGATATAGCTACTAAGTGCACAAAAGTGGATACAATCTTAATATGTCGGCTATCTTGCCATTAGAGATGAAGTGTTGTGCCATTTCACCCACAGTGTGCTTGGACCTGTCCCTTAAAGGTTCAATAGTATCTTCCTACAGTCATGGCCGTAGTGTTAGAGTGTGCGGTCATATGTCTGGTCATACACTTTACAGTAAGTCTTGTTTACATCTTCTTGAGGAACACACTGCCAAAGGTACTTATACCCTAACCTTAGTCCAGCGGTTAAAACATCTTGTAATCTAGTGATCTTGTTACTTGCTCCATATACATGTTTCACTTGATACATCTCATCATGGTGTTTGCACTTGTCCGATTACGTCAAATTCAGCAACAAGTTCTTTCCTAATAACAGTTTGAAGGGTTCTTTTGGACAGACCCAGATTGTATTCAACGGTGTCTTTGTTAGACTCGAGTTTGGCGAGGGCATCAAGTCTGTCATGTTCTTTAAAGCCTATGTGAGAGGGGATCCACAACAGTATAACCCTGACACTCCGGTCAACAAGGTACGCATATTTGTGTCTGGCTTCACAGACAAGCGCGTGACAACTTGAGTTGAGGGTGTCAAGGGCAAGTAGTGAGGATAGAGAGTCAGTGATGATGAGACTGTCAGTGACAGTGGTTTCAATAAATTTAATAGCTGTGAGTATGACAACTAATTCAGTTTGTAGACTGGATGCCCAGTTGTTAATTCTAACTCCTTTCTCAATTATATTACCGTCAGGTTGAGTCACAACAATAGCACTTCCAGCCCTCCCACAGGCGGTGTTAAGAGATCCATCAGTCTAGATGGTCTGTGTGATATTATCATCAGTCTGTAGAGTGTGTATGTGTTCAAGAGCTCTCAGTTTGGCAGTGTGTTGGAGATTAATGCTTTGTATATTAATCTTTAGGTGGAGATGTCGGTATTGCGATATCGAAGGGAACTGTCCGCCAGGGGGGAAGGAAGAAATGTTGTGTCTCAACTTTGTACAGGTTGTCTAGTTCAAACATCTCCATATGTGTAACTGTAGTTTGGATCCATTTAGATTCATCAGTCCCATGGTTCATACATTCTAGCAATTTTAAGGAAACAATGTTATCAGGATTACCACGTATGAATCTCAGGGTTATCATCAGGTTGACTTCAATTATTCTATATTTGACACTGGGTATACCTAGTTCTTTCCTCATATTAAGTACTTTAGTGCTCATGGGACAGCCTAGGATATTTCTGAGGGATATATATATATATATATATATATATATATATATATATATATATATATATATATATATATATATATATATATATATATATATATATATATATATATATATATATATATATATATATATAATCATAAATACACCATATAATCAACAACCTCACCTGCCAGGACTCGAACCCTCGACCTACTGTGTGGGACCAGGGAATGTTACCGACCATGCCACAAGGACACTAAAAGCAGTTCTAAACTATGTTATATTTCACACAAAGCCTGTTCATCGGCGCCGTGAACCTCCCACTGGGAACTGCCCGTGCCGCTTATGTGGTCCCACACAGTAGGTCGAGGGTTCGAGTCTTGGCTGGTGAGGTTGGTGATTTATTTATATATATATATATATATATATATATATATATATATATATATATATATATATATATATATATATATATATATATATATATATATATATATATATATATTTCATGTAAATCCACAATGAAAACGTGGATAAGATAAATCTTGATAAAATCACACTGTATATCTTGATAAAATCACACAGGAAAGGGGAAACAACCTGAGCACCTTAGTTTTCGTCTTTATTCAAGACATCTTCAGAGGCAACTGGATTACATGGACAGAGAGAGGCTTAAATATACAGGGTGACCTTAAAAACATGAGGTCAGGTCATAATGATGTCATCCACTAATCCCCACACCAACACACATGTAGAGGAGCTTAAGAGAAGGGGGGTGACGTGACAGGTCAGGTCAGGTCAAAAATAAGGGACCCACAAAATAACTATCATACATCTAGATTCGGTAAAATGCTACTGACAGCCACATAAGCAGCACGGGCAGTTCCCAATGAGAGGTTCATGGTGCCATCAGCTCGATGAACAGGCTTTGTGTGAAATATCACATAGTCTAGAACTGCTTTTAGTGCTCTTGTGGTATGGTCGGTAGCGTTCCCTGGTCCCATGCATTAGGTCCAGGGTTCGAGTCCTGGCTGGTGAGGTCGTTGATTATATATATATATATATATATATATATATATATATATATATATATATATATATATATATATATATATATATATATATATATATATATATATATATATATATATATATACAAAGAAGTGTGTCTGTGTGTCCGTACGAGAATCTCGGACATTACTTTACCGATCTGTAGTGATGATGGATGGTGTTATATGTAGTGATGATGGATGGTGTTATATGTAGTGATGATGGATGATGATGTTATATGTAGTGATGATGGATGTTGTTATATGTAGTGATGATGGGTGATGTTATATGTAGTGATGATGGATGGTGTTATATGTAGTGATGATGGATGGTGTTATATGTAGTGATGATGGATGGTGTTATATGTAGTGAAGATGGATGATGTTATATGTTGTGATGATTGGTGTTATATGTAGTGATGATGGATGGTGTTATATGTAGTGATGATGGATGATGTTATATGTAGTGATGATGGATGTTGTTATATGTAGTGATGATGGATGTTGTTATATGTAGTGATGATGGGTGATGTTATATGTAGTGATGATGGATGGTGTTATATGTAGTGATGATGGATGATGTTATATGTAGTGATGATGGATGGTGTTATATGTAGTGATGATGGATGGTGTTATATGTAGTGATGATGGATGGTGTTATATGTAGTGAAGATGGATGATGTTATATGTTGTGATGATTGGTGTTATATGTAGTGATGATGGATGGTGTTATATGTAGTGATGATGGATGATGTTATATGTAGTGATGATGGATGTTGTTATATGTAGTGATGATGGATGGTGTTATATGTAGTGATGATGGATGGTGTTATATGTAGTGATGATGGATGATGTTATATGTAGTGATGATGGATGTTGTTATATGTAGTGAGAGCAAGCGTTTCCTTGCTTCTCTCATGGACAGTTCTATGCTCCAGAGTGGGAACTGGCAAAAATCTGTACATACTTGCTGCTAATGGCAAAACCAAAAATGTGGTCTACCTTAATGCACTTCAGTGAGACAATGTGGAGCCTCCCGGAGGGTGGCGTCCTACCGTGTGTGTCTGCAAGAGAATCTCGGAAACTACTTTACCGATCTGTAGTGATGATGGATGGTGTTATATGTAGTGA